ATAAATTTATACTTAGTTAAACTGGGCACCTCAAGGCTAACACATGACCTCTCGTAAGCAAAGGATGAAACACCTGGCCACACATACTCATGGTGAACTCAGAGCCAAAGTGTGGGCTGGGCTAGATCTAGGCAGTGTGAACACAGAGCCGGTCTCTCTGTGGAACATTAACCTCCCCAAAGGAAAAGAAAATCAGGCTCCCACCCAGATCCTATGCAGCTTAGAAGATGCATCATGCACATACAGTTCCCATGGACGGTGTCATCAAACACAAGCGCAATTTAGGAAAGTCCGCCCTACTCGAGGTGGGAGCAGCGACAGTATCTTTTTAAACACAGGCTTATCATCCCAAGGGCTGTGGAGCTGACTGCCGGAAAAAGGAGGGGGAGTCACCGCGAAGACAACTGGGTAATTGAATCATTTGCAGAAACTGGAGGAAAAGACATTTATATTAGATCCGAAGACTCTCAGAAGTCAACGTGGGAAATTACATTAAGTGTCCCTAAGAACTGAAACACTGCATCCTTTCAGCTTGATCCTGACAAGAAGCTTCATTGGTGACAGATAATGCCAAAACGAATACAACAATCAAATCATGGCTTTGCTTTGGGGAAATTACAGTGCTTCAAGTCACACTCCTAAGGAGAATAACTTAAGAATTCCAATGTTTATTTATTTTTAAAGTGTGAAGTGCCCTAGTTTGCGTCAGGAGAAGCACAGTTATTGTTGTTATTATTATTTTTCAAGTATTTATTTATTTTATTCATTTGGCTATTCCAGGTCTTAGTTGTGGCACACGGGATCTAGTTCTGACCAGGAATTGAACCCAGGCTCTTTGCAGCGGGAGCATTGTCTCAGCCACTGGACTGCCAGGCAAGTCCCAGAATTCCAACATGAGACAGTGCATGTCCTTAGGGAGGAGGTACATAGGACTTCCATGAAAATAACAAAGTGACAGTCAGTATAAGAAATAACAGTGCATCCTTGGAAATATTAAAATAGTCGAGAAGAGCAATTCAGTTTGGTAGTACCTTTGAAAAGTCCCAAAGCTGCAACCGGACATAGAAATTGTGCTTTTGATACATTAACTCTCTTGGACCCGACCCAAGGGAGGAAAACTAGAGTCACCCTGGAAAAATTTTCAATCACAAAGGACCAGAACTCACCCAGCAGGTGTGGAATCCCTAACCCCAAGTGGGAAATTCAGACTGATGTGGTCCTGGCCTGGCTGTGATCCAGGAAAAGACAGCTTCCTGGAGAACCCACTTTAAATGTGGACCAGAGTGGAAATTCCAAGGAACACACATTTATAATCACACACACTGTCTTCTCAATCTCACAGGTTTTTCTGCTTGTGACTTCTACCTTCTTATGTGATCCTAACCCTAACCCTAATTATAAGGCAAATATAAGGCAGTGATGTTGGTATAGGAGGCTTGCCAGTCTATATGCAATTTTTCATACTCAATTAATATTTGGAAGCAATCATGGGTAAGCCTTTACATGTCATGAGATCTTAACTAACACAAAGGTGAAGTACACCTGAAACTAATATAATATTGTAAGTCAATTATACTTCAATTTTTTAAAAAAGGAGGAAAAAGGCTAAAGATTGCAAATAGTGATGGACTCAGTGGCTTCAAGAAGTACTACAATGTGCATTCCGTGAGAGCTCTAGAAAAGCTGGGACTATGAACGCAAAATCTGGAATGATATTTCCACCTGTGTAAAAACAACAGGTAAGTGCAGAAAACTACATGTGGGATCAGATTTTTCATTTTGCTGAAAGTGAATGCTTTCAAGGACAATAAAGAAATTAGGTCAGTAGTTAGAAACTCCCACTATAAAGTATTACAAAATATTTAAGAAACTTAATTTCCTCTCACATATATTATTTAGAAAATAAAAAGGAATACTCCAAAACTAATAAAGCAAACTAGAACAGCCAAGAAAGAAAAATCACAGGTTTCTATTTCAATGAACCAGAAAAACATCTACTTCTGCTTTATTGACTATGCCACAGTCTTTGTGTGTATCACAACAAACTGTGGAAAATTCTTCAACAGATAGGAATACCAGACCACCTGACCTGACTCCTGAGAAATCTGTATGCAGGTCAAGAACAGTTAGAATTGGACATGGAATAACAGACTGGTTCCAAATCAGGAAAGGAGTACGTCAAGGCTGTATATTGTCACCCTGCTTATTTAACTTATATGCTGAGTACATCATGAGAAATGCTGGACTGGATGAAGCACAAGCTGGAATCAAGATTTCCGGGAGAAATATCAATAACCTCAGATATGCAGATGACACCACCCTTATGGCAGAAAGTGAAGATGAACAAAAGAGCCTCTTGATGAAAGTGAAAGAGGAGAGTAAAAAAGTGGGCTTAAAACTCAATATTCAGAAAACTAAGATCATGGAATCTGGCCCCATCCCTTCATGGCAAATAGATGTGGAAGCAATGGAAACAGTGACAGACTTTATTTTCTTGGGCTCCAAAATCAGTGTAGATGGTGACTGCAGCCATGAAATTAAAAGACACTTGCTCCTTGGAAGAAAAGTTATGACCAACCTAGGCAGCATATTAAAAAGAAGAGACATTACTTTGCCAACAAAGGTCCATCTAGTCAAAGCTGTGGTTTTTCCCATAGTCATGTATGGATGTGAGAGTTGGACTATAAAGAAAGCTGAGTGCTTAAGAATTGATGCTTTTGAACTGTGGTGGTGAAGAAGACTCTTGAGAGTCCCTTGGACAGCAAGGAAATCCAATCAATCCATCCTAAAGGAAATCAGTCCTAAATATTCATTGGAAGGACTGATGCTGAAGCTGGAACTCCAGTACTTTGGCCACCTGATGTGAAGAAAAGACTCATTGGAAAAGACCCTGATGCTGGGAAAGATTGAAGGTGGGAGGAAAAGGGGACAACAGAGGATGAGATGGTTGGATGGCATCACCGACTCAATGGACATGAGTCTGAGTAAGCTCCAGGAGTTGGTGATGGACAGGAAAACCTGGCATGCTGCAGTCCATGGGGTCACAAAGAGTCGGACATGACTGAGCAACTGAACTGAACTGATTTCAATGAACATCGATGCAAGATCTCAAGTAAAATGTTAATAATGTAAATTCAGCTCTGTATTTTAAAAAAATACATCAAAATCTAGTTACACTAGTCCCAGGAATGCTAATTTGGTTCAATATAAGAAAATTTAATAATGTAATCTGTCCATTAATAGATTAAAGAAAACAGAAAAGATACTTGATGATATTCAATATCAAGTTGAGTTTAAAAAAAAAAAAAAACCTCTTGGCAAAATAGGAAAAGAAGGGAAATCCCTCACCCTGATAACGGCTTATTATAATCATGTTTAATGGGGAAACATTTGAAGCACTCTCTTTATCTAGAATGAGATAAGGAAATCCACAATAACTGCTTCTGCCAGCATAAAAGAGGTCATAACCAGCAGAGCAAGATAAGAAAAATAAATAAAAAGGCATAAAGACTGAAAAAGAAGAAATAAGACTGTCATTATTTGCCGATGTTACGACTGTCTCTATGGAAAACCCCAAAATAGAAATAAAAAGAGAGTTTATTAGCAAGGCATCTGGCTCTAAAATGAATATGCAAAAGTTTTATGTTCATTAATTTTTTTTAAAAATAAACTTTGGGTCCATCTATTTTAATTGAATAACATATTAAATACTTTGGGGAATTAACATTTTATGAGAACTTATGGTAAGTTTATGGTAATTTATGGTACCTTTTGGGGCTTCTCAGGTGGCTCAGTGTTAAAGAATCTGCCTGCTAATGTAGGAGACTCAGGTTCAAACCCTGGATAGGAAAGATCCCCTGGAGGAGGAAATGGCAACCCACTCCAGTATTCCAGCCTAGAGAATCCCGTGAACAGATGAGTCCAGTGGGTGGCAGCCCATGGGGTCGCAAAGAGTCAGACACGACTGAGTGACTGTTATGTTTCTATGAGCATGGTAATTTTACCAGCAAATGAATATATCTTTTGGTAAAGTAAATATCCCCATTCAAGGTCAAATATAGATATTAACAATGTGTTTTCTAATATACTAGGTAATTTTAGAGGAAGGCATACTAATCTATGCCTAGACTTTAAGCAAGGAATTTGGCAGAATTGGGCAAATAACCAAATAGCTAATTTACACTATTTTCCAAGCAAATTCATCTCCAAATAATCTGGCAAAAAGTGAAAGAAATCTACGAAAACGCTGTGTTTTTCCCCATGTAAAAGCATTAAGCTATGAATGCCAAAACAGCCCTGGGCAGTCGGGAATGAATACGGTTCTTTAACAGCCTAATTTTGTTTATACTCATATTGATGACTTTTATAAAAAGAAAATTTAGCTTCCAGGGAAAAAACACACAGGGAACCACAAGAAGACACAGTACAAGCTTTATAATAATATTCCTAATTGCCAACAACACAAGTCCATTTTGGGAAAAGCTTTGGAGAGGACCTCCCAATGCAAGCCTTGGGTTACAACCTGTTAGCAACCTGAATGAGTCCATCAGAACTCTGGCCACTAGTGTGAGTCTCTTTATCTCTTTATCAGAAACAGTGCCAGCAGCCAAGCTCTTTCAGATGACGCTGGGCGGTCTGCTCCAGCTTTTAAGAGGTCGATTTTTTTCTTTGAAAAGCCATTAAGACAGAACCACAGTCTGCGGAAACCACCCCCAAGATAGGTTCATGGTTTGTCTCCACGGTAATCGTCCTGGTGACTAAAGAAATCAACACACTGCTCAAATCATAACACTGAGGATTTCCCCGAATTTTAGATCCCGCCCCCCGCCTCCTACTAATACCCCACACCCCAAGTTGACATGAAACGAAAATAATTCCAAGTTGAGTGGCCTTTTGTGGCTGCATCAAAAAGAAGAACTTGGGGACCAGCAGTCTGGGAGGATACCGTGACAAGCGTTAAAAGGGGAAATGAAAAAAAAAGACTCTCGCTTTCACCTTACCTTTTCAACATCCGCTTTCGTAACATTTATGTCAGCATCCATTTTCTCAAAGTACTGCTGGGCTCGGTCGGCCTCTTTGCAATCCCGCTCAAAACGTCTTTTACTCTAAGAGCAGAGGAAGATGGTGACAGGGAAAGTGATTGTTAATGAAACCATGAGATTACTATATGAAGATGTAATTGTATCATAATTTTATTGGCATTCCCTGATTCCCCCTCCCCAAAAGCATTGTTTTCTGAACTGATTTGTTCCATGTCATCACTTCAGGAAGTTATTTTAAAATCCGCCTTTATTTCCATCCAATCTGTCTAATCTTTGTCCTTCCCTATGATTTTTAGAAAAAAGGTTCCACTTGGGCTCTTTGGGGCTGAACATTTTACTTCCAGTAATAATCTCTAGAAATCAATTAAATTCAAATTGTAAAAATCTCTAAAGACGTTAGGGTCTCTGTTTTGTACTTAGTGTTGATTCAAACTTAAGTTAAATTCAGATCAGAAAAATCTGTAGAGACATTTCTTGAGTGGTTGGTTTTTCACTTACTGATTCTAGTTGCTTCCAGCACGTCTCTATGTGCTGCTGTGCCTTCCGTCCATCGTGAAAGTGCTGGGGGGGGGGGGGGGGCGGGGGGGGCAGAGACACACCCATGATTAGTACTCTGTCTTTCTCACATTAAGACTTGACAAAAAATTCACCCACTCCAAGGATATTTAAATATTGAATATCTGGCCCATGTGCTCGGAAGAAATGTAAGACTTAAAAAATAAATGAGAAATGAAAACAGTAATAAGTCAATTGTCGCAGAGTTGCATCTCAGACTTTAGCTCTAATAATACTGAATGCTAAGAGTTATTTATGCTACTTGTGAAAATGACAGGAATGCTTTACAAAGATGGCAATCAGATCTTTATTTTTAATCGCTCTGAGATGTAATTCATATACCATACGATTCACCCACTGAAACTGTTCAATTCAATGGGCCTTAGTCTAGTCACAAAATAGGCAACTCTCATCACAATCGATTTTAGAACATTTAAAAAAACTCTCTGAACTGGAAACAGAATTGCCATATGACCCAGCAATACCACTTCTGGGCATACACACCGCGGAAACCAGATCTGAAAGAGACACGTGCACCCCAATGTTCATCGAAGCACTGTTTATAATAGCCAGGACATGGAAGCAACCTAGATGCCCATCAGCAGACAAATGGATAAGGAAGCTATGGTACATATACACCATGGAATATTACTCAGCCATTAAAAAGAATTCATTTGAATAAGTTCTAATGAGATGGATGAAACTGGAGCCCATTATACAGAGTGAAGTAAGCCAGAAGGATAAAGAACATTACAGGATACTAACACATACATATGGAATTTTAAAAGATGGTAATGATAACCCTATATGCAGAACAGAAAAAGAGACACAAATGTACAGAACAGATTTTTGGACTCTGTGGGAGAAGGCGAGGGTGGGATGTTTCAAGAGAACAGCATCGAAACATGTATATTATCTAGGGTGAAACAGATCACCAGCCCAGGTTGGATGCATGAGACAAGCGCTTGGGGCTGGTGCACTGGGAAAACCCAGAGGGATCAGGTGGGGAGGGAGGTGGGAGGGGGGAGCGGGATGGGGAACACATGTAAATCCATGGCTGATTCATGTCAGTGTATGACAAAACCCACTACAATATTGTAAAGTAATTAGCCTCCAACAAATAAAAATAAATAAAAATAAATAAATTCTCTGGTCATACCTCTGCCACCCCACCCTCCCAAGGCATGTGCGATCATAGTTCTTCAACCGGAGATCGAATCCTCACCCCATGCATTAGAAGACAGAGTCCTAACCACTGGATTGCCGGGGAAGTCCCTTGAACATTTGTATCACCTCAGAAAAAATGCTGAACCTCTTAGCTGTCACCTCCCATCTTCCCCAGCCCTAGGCAAACACCACGCCACTTCCCATCTGTATAGACTTGCTTATTCGGGATATTTCATACGAATGGAATCGTACAATATGAAATCCTTTGTGACTGACATCACACTTTCAACATTTCATAATTTTCACTTAGCCTAACGTTTCCAATGATCACACATATCAGTACTTTATTCCTTTTATTGCCACATGGCAATTTTTTGGGTGACCCATTCCCAGTTTGCGGCTATTATGAATAATGCTGCTGCAAATACCTGTCTAAGTTTTGGGTGGGTAGATGGTTCCGTGACTTATATTTTCTTAGACTTAAATTCACCTCCCTGCCATCTGCAAAGGCCCTGTGGCAGGTTTATGCTTGGTATTGACCATCAGGGACATGAAAGAGTCAGACCAAAGTGAGTCTCAGGAATGTGAGGAAATGGGGTCAGAGAAGAAAGGTGCAGCCTGTGCAAAGTCTTGTAAGCTTTTTGTCTGCATGACCTGGGAAGTCGGGAATGTCACGTAAGAATGTTCCAGGTGGGAGTCCCTCTCTAACCCTGGAAATGATGGACACTTGGACCCTGGGGCAGCAGTGCAGGTGTTGACAGAGGCTCAGACTCTGGGTGTCCTTTGATTGAGAAAATTACCAATAAATCAGATCAGAAGTGCCCTGTGAGACACGGAGAGGTCAGCGTGATTCCAAGGATGTTCTGACCTGCATGGACCACGTGCACAAAAGCACCTTCCCCCTGGTCTTGTTAGACTTGACGGGTTCTGGCAGATCAGAGAGCGGGAATTTCCACCTGCACCGCCGCTAGGATGCAAAGAGCTGACAGGTCTTTTGACCAAAGGCCACAGCTCCAGCCTGGCAGTGTCCATAGCTCATCTCTGAAGTTCCTACAAGGCTTCCCTACCCTTTGAGACCCAGGGCCATGGCAGCTCCCCACTGTGATCAGCCCGGGGTGGGGTGGGGTATCACTCTATCCCTTAGCTCTTCCTGAATCCTCTCCACAAGTGCTAAATGGTTCTTTTAATAAATGACCCTCCTCAGACGACTAGGCGTGAATGTGCTGTCTGTCTTCTGGCCGAGGAGTTAAGTTCAGCTGGGAGGGGTGTGTAGTCGAGGAGGGAAGCGAAAGGGTGGCGGGCGTGGAGAGGTCTCCTCGGTACTCACAGCCTTTCTCTCACCTCATCAGAACCTATGGCTTAGCCGAGATACACAAGGTAACTGACCCCGGGAGGCCAGCGAGGAGGAGACAAAAATCAGACTTTTTTTTTTCTTAAAGAACAGTGTTCCTTTATAAGGGAATGTTTTCTGGTCTCTCTTCGGAGGTCACATTTCACCATTTTAAGTGCCTCTTGACAGCAAGGTTTACCCGTCTAGCAATTTTTTTTTTTGGTCTGGAGGAGCCCCGTGGGGCTTCGTATTTTGAGTCTCATAATAGACAGAGGGATACGACAGAAAAGAGATGGATACGACCAAAAAGAGATGGAGTCGAAGGTAGGCATAAACAAGATAAGAAAGGATGGGCTTTAGGGAGGCGTAAGATTAGCCGAGAGCAGAATTGAGGCGCTTTGAGGGGAAGTACAGAATTGTGAGCGGGTTTTCTGAAAGCCACAGATGTCCCTTTAAAGAAGACGCGGGGGCGGGGGAGGACCTGGGGAGACAGAGGAATGAGGGGTCCGGGAGGGGGACGAAGGCTCAGCTGTGCCCCTCGGCCCCAAACTGTCCAGAGGACCAGCCCCATTTCCTATGCAGGTCTCTGGTGCCCTACAGTTTGCTGAAAAGCTATCCCCATTTCTCCCCAATCTTACTTTGAGATTCAAAGACAGACACAAACAGAAAACCTCGGCACCCAGTTCAGAGCTGGGCTCTAAGCTTCTGCTCCAACTCGACAGGAGCTCTGAAATGAACGTTTTCACAAAACGAAAGCTCCCTCACAGCCAGCGCCGTCCTGACTGAGAGGAAACGCACCCAAAGAACGTGCAGAAGTGATGGATCCTGCACAGGAAAGGTGGATCGGGCTTCACCAGCAAAGAGATCGGCTCTGAAGACCAGTCTTCCAAAAAAGGCCGTGTTTTGGAAGCACGAGGGGATAATTCGATTGAAAACCTACTAGATAGTAAATTCTCTTGCCGATTCTTCATTTCCAGGTTGAATAAAATAATAGATACACATTTATTTTCAAGCACAGTGTGGACCCCAACTTTATTGATGAGCTTTTTCCCAGGAAGGGCTCCTGTTATACCCCCTGCAACGCCAAAACAGTTATTCACGAAGCACACTTGTGATTGCATTTCCTGTGGCTTAAGAGAGAGAAAAAAAAATTAGTGTCACTGATTTTCTTTCTAGTCTTTCTTGCCTAGTATGTGTTCTCCAAAATGGATTTGCCTACAAGACACAAAAACCCTGCGCTGGCAGATCCCTTAGGAAACCAATGGATGGAACAAAAACCCTTCTGATGGTTCGGAGCATCCCATGACCTAAATAGCAGCGGCCCTTTGTAGCCAGCTAGATCTTCCCTCCTTTAATGGCTTTATTTCAACAGTTGCAAAGTTAAACAAACCAACCAGCTTGCCAGATGTGTTTCTTGTTTATTAACAAACAATGGTCAAACATTTCTTCGCGGGGCAGTGACCAAGTGTGGATCTAAAAAGTGTGCCTCCAAGCTCTAAATAAAGACGAATTGTTCTCGAGAAAAAAGATAATAGGCACTTCTTTTGGAGCCACGGAGTGAAGTCATCACAGCTCTTTGCTCCTATCAGAGCAGAGACAGGAAATGCCATCTCTAGAGACCCAGGGGAAAAAAAAGCTCTTTGCTTTCTCCTGTAATAAGATGCTTTAGTTTCTCTTCAAACATAATAATAGACCTTTTTAAATGCCTGATGATATCTGGGTGGCAGCTGAACTTACTTTCAACTTTTTGGTTGAACCTTAAAAATATACGGGTAAAATCTATACAAATCAAATGAGCCTTCAAAAATTTTTCAGAAATTTCCCAGAGACCAGGAGTAGCTGAGATTTAAAAAAAAAAAAAAAAAAAATCACAGGAAACCTAAAATAGGCAAGCATTAACTCAAAGCAAAATGACAAAGACAAAGCTTCGAAGCAGATTTAACTGTGCTGCCAAGAAATCATCCTTAGGCTGAATAGATAAACAGTGAGAATATTTGTTACTCACACACTGCAGTTAGGTACAACAGCTACTCATTTTACTATATGTATAAAATAGATCATCAATTTTTAAAACTACACTAAAAAAGCAAAATACGGCATTGAGGTGAAAAGAGCCACTTCTTTTAAAAAAAAAAAAAAGTGGGAAAAAAAATAACAGAATAAACACTCAACCAAGGACAGCCAGCCAGCCAGCCATCTGGAATTTTAAATAAAACTCAGATTCTACAGATGAAAACAAAGGAACACAAAAAAATTTAAAAAGGGGGAGAAGAAAGGAGTTTCCAGAAAATATATCTGTGACAAATACTAGAATTTCCAAAAAAACCCTACAGTGTGATGGGCTTGAATACCAGCAGGCTTCTAGTGCTAGCCTGACTCAGGGTTAACTAACCTAACAATAAATCTGTGTGTGTGGATATGCGTGTGGACTGTGCAGCGGATCTGTGAAGCACCTTCAGAAAGGTTCGGGGCAGTTGTCACTTCAGTGAAGCCCAAAACTATAACCCTA